GTAGTTCTGTTTCTGTCATCAGATGTGTATGCATACACTCTTAAAAAATATGGTTCTTCAGGCGTTCTTTAGTAAAGAAAAATGTTCTAAATTGAATCATGAACACTCAAAGAACCCTCTGCATGATTAAGGGGTTCTATGCATTATGAAAGGTTTCTTCAGATTGATGGAGAATGTGTTGTATATAGCCCCAAAAAAGGGTTCTGCTATTGTTATGATACAAGCTTGAAACAACAGAAGAACCTTTTTGGTGCTATATAAAAGCATTTTCTTTACTGAAGAACCCTCGAAGAACCATCTTTTTTAAGAGTGTAGTGTCCCCAAACATTTAACAGACCATGTATAATCCAGTTATGTTTCCGTTATCAGATGTGTACGCACATACCGTGTGTGTGTGTGTGTGATTAGTGAAGGTTAAAATGCTCCAGTGCGTTCTGCTGTAGCTGACTCAGCTCTCTGCGTGCAGGAACACTCACTGTGTAACTGGAACACCCCCCACGCCCTGCTCTCCCCCGCGCCTGATTGGCTGTTTATCAGCCGTAATGAGGCAGGAAGTGTGTTTACCCTTGTTTGTTTTCTCACCTCGCTCTGTCAACAGAGCATGCTACCGCTACAGTGGAGCGCTAACTCAGCTGACACCTTACGGTCAGGAGAAACGCTGTCCACACCAAAATCAATGCTAGTGCTCAGCACCTCACATTTCAAGCGATAGTTTGGTGAAGATTTCCCCCCCTTTTTCCAAGCGTAGCCCATCAGCTGAAACGTGTTTGGAGTGTGAAGTTTACTTCTTTAGTTTTAACACTGGATCTACGAGGTAGCCAACAAGTAATGGAAGCTAATGTATTAGCATAATTAGCAGCTAGCTGTATGCCTGAATCATCACACACTCATCTCAAACTGGGTGGACTTGTTCAGTATTGCTAATAGACATCATTATATGTGATTACGTGTCATCTATAAACATCGATTAGCAAAGCTAAAAACAGTGGCAGCCTGAATTGTGTCCATTAGTGCTACTTAGATCCAGAGCTCTGTGCGTGTCAGTGGTGAATTTACATCTAGTAGCACTAGGCCTTCATTTTAGGTCATATTGTCAAAATTTGGGCAAAAAAGAGAAAAATACACCTCTATAATAATGCTAATTTCTGCTAGCAACCCTTAAGGAATTTCAAATAGTGTGTTAGCACTAGGGGCAGTCATGGGCTGGAGGTTAGGGAACCAGCCTTGTGACCGGAAGGTCACCAGTTTGATCCCTTGAGCCAACAGTATGTGACTGAGGTGCCCTTGAGGAAGACACCTAACCCCCAACTGCTCCCCGGGCACTGTGGATACGGCTGCCCACCGCTCCGGTCAAGTGTGCTCACTGCCCCCTAGTGTGTGTGCTCACTAGTGTGTATGTGGTGTTTCACTGCACGGATGGGTTAAATGCGGAGGTGAAATTTCCCTGTTGTGGGACTAATAAGGGTCACTTAAACTCAAATCTTAATCTAAGCACTAAGATAATGCTGGTGCACATGAACTTTTAATGCCATTCTAGATTAAACATAGATATTTGAAGCTTTTAAAAGTATGGTTACACCTCTAGTCATTATCATATACCTGAGCTTGTATGTATCAGTGTTACAGTGACTCTTTCAGTAAAGAGTCCTACATAGAGCTCCCGCCGCTGTTTTACACTCCTAACAACTAACCGGAACTGCTTAGACGTCAGCTCACACTCACAGTCAGTGATGTATCTAGAACTTCCAGAAGTGACGTTTTTTGGTCCCACCGACTGTTAATCAAAGCATGACTAGTTCACTTTCTAATTATGTTGAGTGTTTTGGTGCTCATTGGATAGTTGTATATACCAGATGGTTAACTAGTAAGTAACTAGTAACTAGTTTTTCACTTGTGTAAAAGGTTAAAGATTGTTATACATTACATCTTGTTAACTATATGATCTATAATCTAGTTTTTACCAGTTATAGATATGACTTTGTCAGCTGTGTGAGCACAATTTACAAGTGGGAAAACTGTTATTTCCCAGTTTTTTTTCCAACACTACTCGAACACATCATAAATCTAATGTGTAAGGCTTTATTTGGGTAATCCACTATAGATGCATTCAACTAAATATCTACTAAATTGATCATAATTTTCTTGAACTCTAAACCTGGCTCTAATCCTAACCCTAACCTTAACCTCAACCCACAACCAAAACCCAACCCTCACCCTGCTCCTAGCCCTAACCCTGGTCCAAATCCTACCACCACTGTTTAGAATCAGCTGAGGTTCAACAGATAGTTTGCTAACAATTTGTACATCTGTAGATAATCTATAGAGGACTATAGGGGACTATCCAAATAAAGTGAGATGAGGCCTTCAGTCCAGCTCCAGAAGTCCTACCAATGGGAAAGCTTGCTCAGCTGTATCTGTCTAGATACCTCAGACAGAACAATCCTGATTTCATCATTTTCTGTTGGACTTTAGATTTTAACCTCTTTGGCTCTAAACCAAAACCAAACAATGAAATGAGAATATTTTAGTTCCCAGAAATAAATTAGGCCTTCTAGAGTTCCCACTGGTGTGTTTCTAAGACAACAATAAATAATAAAGGAAACAATTCAGCAACAGCAGACACAAAACAAGAGGACTTCAGAATCAACCACGTTATAAACAATGACATAATCGACTTTACATCTGATAAAAAACTTTTATACTACATGTAAATATTCACTGGTATTCTGTTATAATCTGTAATAATCTCTCTAGATTCTGTGAGCTTTATAGCTTTTCTTAATATACACTTAAAAAAAATGGTTCTTTAAGGGTTCTCTAGTAAAGGGACACTTAAAGAAGCCATTGCATGATTAAATGGTTCTTTGCATAGTGAAATGGTTCTTTAGCTTGATGGAGAATGTGCTGTAGATGGTTCAGCATAGAACCTTTTTGAAAAGGATTCACCAAAAAGAGTTCTTGACATCGTAACAATAGCAGAACCCTTTTTGGTGCTACATAGATTATACAACACATTCTCTATCAATTTGAAGAACCATTTCATAATGCAAAAAACCCTTTAATCAAGCAAAGGGTTCTTTGAGTGTGTTCTACAAAGGACCATTTTCTTTACTTTCTTTACTACGTTGCATCAAAAGGGTTCTTCTATTGTTACAATGGTTCTGTATGGCTCAATTTAGCACCAAAAAGTGCTCTTCTGTTGTTATGATGGATCTATATGGTTCTATTCAGCACCACAAAGGGTTCTTCTACTGTTACAATACTCTATATGGTTCTATACAGCACCAACAAGGGTTCTGCTATTGTTGCATTCTTGAGTTATGATAACAATAGAACAGCCCTTTTTGGTGCTATATAGAACCCTTTAAAAAAAGGTTCTATGTAGACCCATATACAGCACATTCGCCATTAATCTAAAGAACCATAGAAATGGTTCTATATAGAACTCATGGCTCTAAATAGAACCATTTCCTTTACTAAAGAACCCTTGAAGAACCATCTTTTTTGAGTGTATGGTACTGTGCAAAAGTCAAGAAAATTATCTGTTGGGTTGTTTATCTGTACAGTAAGCACTTATTTACTAAATAAACAATTTATTGTTTTACAGTTTTATACAATTACAGTCCAATACCTGCTCTATCTAATCAACACTTCATTAAATTAAATCAGGTTCTGCTGATGGAACTGGACAGATCCATGTGATGGCTGGAGTTCAGCTAGAGGTCAGGAGCCAAACCCGTGTTCTTCTACCCTCAAGAAGGGTGAAAAGGGTACAGAACCAAAAAAAAGATTCTATGAGAACCCAATTGCAGAACCTTTTTTTGGTGCTATATAGAACTATTTTGAAAAGGTTGTTCAGAGAATTATATACACAACAGGTTTTCCTTCATAGAGAAGAACCATTTAACCAGGCAAAGAGCCATCTAAGCATTCACATGGTTCTTTGAGTTGTCAAAATTCTATATAGAACTATTGCCTCTACTAAAGAACCCATGAAGAACCATTTTTTGGCCCAAACAGAAGACGGGATATTGTGGAGGATCATTGTCCACACACTCTTAGCAAAAATGGTTCTGCAAAGGTTCTTCAGCTTGTAACAATAGTGGAACTATTTTTGGTGCTATATATATGAAAAAGGTTTTTTAAAGAACCTTTTACAACAGGCTTTTCCAAGCAAAGAACCATTAATGTATTCAGATGGTTCACAGTTCTATGTAGAACTATTGCTTTTTCCTAAAGAACCCTTGACAATCTATTTTTAAGGCCCAAACAGGAGAGATGATATTGTGGAGAAACCACATAGACTCTTGGCAAAAATGGTTCTACATCATCACAAAGGTTCTTTAAAGAACTATTTGGAACAGGTTTTCCATCATTGAAAAGAACAATTCAGCCACGTAACATCAAGCATGGTTAAGTGTTCATGGTTCTATCCATTATTGCCTTTACTAAAGAACCTTGAAAAACCCTTTCTTTTTAGGGTGTATGGTAACCAGGAGTTAGAGTTGAGTTGACAGCGCTTAATAATAACAATAATAATAATAACCAACATATCAAAAACTACTGAAAACAATAACTTTTTATATCTTTTTTTCTGTATTTATGTTTATTTTTGTTTACTCATGTTATAAATTGTTTTGACTGCCCAGATAAGCAGTAATAAACAGTTATCCTGATTAAAAGCTGTGTGTGGGTGTGATTTAGCTATCTAGAAGAGTCTAGAACTCTAACAGACTGTGTAAATAATGCAAATATATCAGTTTAGTATGAATATGCAAAGTGTCTCAGTTTGATGCAGTACTGTTTACATTCGCACTGAAACAAAAACAACACACACACACACGCGCGCGCGCGCACACACACATATAAACACAAACACAGGCCCAGCTGCGCGCGAGGCGCCCCGTAACGAGGCGAGCGAGCCGACAGACGAGCAGTGAGGCTAGCGCGAGCTCCTCTGCGCGTTAATGAATGATTAATGAGTGATTTAAATCGCTCACCTGGCTGTAATGTCCTCGTGAGCTGCGCCTGAGACTCCACGCGGAAGTTTTGTGCAGTTTGCTCGCGCGCTCCGGCAGATTAGACCACTTTAAACTCGCACTGAAGCCCCTCAGAGTGAGCTGAGCGCTGCTGCGGGGAAGTGAAGCTCTGAGCTCTGAGCTCTGAGTCTGCACTCCTCTCTACTCCTTCCTCCTCTCTCTCTCTCTCTCTCTCTCTCTCTCTTTCTCTCTCTCTTTCTCTCCGCCTCTTCTGGCCGCGCTGAGCGCGCGCTCCGGTTACCTGCCGCAGACAGGTGGGGTGTGTGCGCGTGCGTGTGTGCGTGCGTGCATGCGTGTGTGAGATCAGTGAAGTTCAGCTGTTGTGTTTATGGAGGAGAGTAGAAACTTTACCAGCTACACTGGTAAAGGTTCTTCAAGGGTTCTTTAGCAAAAACAAAGGTTCTATATGGAACCATGAACATTCAGAGAACCATTTTCATGATGAAATGGTTCAACAGATTGCTGGAGAATGTATTGTTATACAGCACTAAAAAGGGTTTTGCTGTTGTTGTGATGTCAAGCTTGATACAACAGAAGAACCCTTTTTAGGTGCTGTATAGAACCATATACAACACATTCTCCAGAACCATTTCACCATACTCTTAAAACGATGGTTCTTCAAGGGTTCTTTGGTAAAGACAATGGGTCTATGCAGAACTACAGACACTCAAAGAACCACTTGCATGCTTAAATGGTTCTCTGCATGGTGAAATGGTTCTTCAGATTGATGAAGAATGTCTTGTTTTTGAAAATGGTTCTATATAGCACCAAAAAAGTTCTGCTATGTTATGATGTAAATCTTGTAACAATAAAAGAACCTTGTTTGGTGCTATATAGAACAATATACAACACATTCTGCATCAGTCGGAAGAATCATTTCACCACACTCTTTAAAAAGATGTTTTTTTAAGGGTTCTTTAGTAAAGAAAATGATTCTGTATAGAACCATGAACACTGAAAGAGCCATTTGCATGCTTAATTGGGCCTCTGCATGGTGAAATGGTTCAGATTTATGAAGAATGGCTTGTATATAGTTGTATATACAACCTTTTTAGAAAATGGTTCTATATAGCACCAGAAAGGATTCTGTTATTGTTACAATGTCAAGCTTGTAACAGTAAAATATCCCCTTTTGGTGCTATATAGAACCATATGCAATACATTCTCCATCAACCTGAAGAACCATTTCATCATGCATCCTGCATCCTGCACCTTATGCACAGTCTTTACTAAAGAACCCTTGAAGAACCATTTTTGTAAAAGTGCATATATGTAACTGAACCTGCAGTGGATAATAATACCTGTATAAAAGATGAATAAGTCTAATAATACCTGATTAAGGCTCATGATTACCTCAGTAGGTAATAAAACCTGATAATTCCTGCATATGTGTTATATCACCTGTATGGGTGTTATAAGACCTGTATAAATGTTATGGCTAGCACTTATAATATGTGTATATGTTATATAATACTGGCATAGATCTTACTATATTGTACTATAGTGTGTTTAGGTCTTAGCATGACTGTAAAGATGGTATGTTACCTGTACGGGTCTTATAATATTTATACAGGTATTACGATGCATACACAGGTTTTATACCTGCAACAGGCCTTATGATACCTGTAAAGGCCTTATCTATATGAGCATTATAATAGCTGTTTAGGTCTTATGATACCTGTAGAAGTGTTTTAATACATGTAAAGGTCCTATAATACCTCTTTACATATATTTATTGTACAAATATACTTACAGTACAATATCTATGTAGGTTTTCTAGTAGGGCTTTGGAAGCTAGAGTACTAATACAAGTCTTATGATACCTGTACAGGTCTTATAATGCCTGTGTAAGTGTTATAATAGCTTTTTAGGTCTTATGACACCTATATAGATCTTTTAAAGTCACAGGAAGCACAGGGTAAAATATTAAAAATGTTTATATGATACTAAACTTGAATGTTCTATTAAACATCCACAAAGCTTGAGTGAAAAATATAAGATATAACTATGATACAACCCACTGATCAGGTTTATCTGTCAACTGTGTGGGCGTGGCTAATGAGCAGCTTGATTGACAGCTCTCTGTCCAGCACTTTTAGCCTGCTCTGCCCACATACAGAACTAACATCATTATCCAGCTTTTATGTGACGCTAACTAGATGAAAAAAGTCACAAATGAACAGAAGACAGACAGGTGGTCTAGCTTGCTAGCTTTAGTTTGCTAAAGCCGCTTTTCTGCCCCATGGTACCAGCTCGGCTCTACTCGCCTTTTTGGGTTCTCCACTAGGCAAACCTTGTACCTGGTACTATTTTTGGTGTCACCTCCACTGAGGTTTCAAGTAAGCTGAGCTGATACCAAAAGATGATGTAAAAATGCTTCAGACTACTGATTGGTTATCACTAAATCACTAAATATATATGTTAACCTTAGCTACTAGGTTTGCATACCCTCTTGCATCAACTTTGAGCAACAAAATAGTCTCGTCGTCTGAACTCTGATGTAGTTTTTCCCAAACTCTCCAGTCTTTTGTCTCACTGCCGTCAGCCTCTCTTTCATGTCCCAGCAGTTTCATGTGGTGTTGCTATGATGACCAGCTACGTTGAGGGGGCGCTATATCTGCAGTGGAGAACGAAGTAGCTGGTACTAAAAGTGAGTCAAGTTGAGACGGTACCATGCAATGGAAAAGCATCATTCATTTCTCAGATTCTGAAACTGTTTTGTGTGACATCTGTCTTTTGATTGGTTAGGAAATGAGGGAGCGCTACCCACTATTAGGACCACCCAGTTTACATTAAAAGGGAGAATGCTGGTGAAATAAAGCAGACATTTGTCAGACTTTGGGAAGGTTTTCATAAGACATGCTTTGTACATGTATATTTTGGGCCCAGAGGATCAAGATTAACTTAATTAGAAGGAAAACACAGATTTAGGTTTCGTGGAGCTTTAATACCTGTAAAGATTGTATGATACCTGTATAAGTCTTATGATGCCTGTTCAGGTTTTATAATACCTGTTTTTGTCTTATAATACTTGTATAGGTATTATCATAGCTACACAGGCTTTTATGATACATATATATGCCTCTTGATTCCTGTAAGTCTTATAATACCTGTAGAGGTTTTATTATACCTGTATAGGTCTTATGACACCTGTATAGACCATATGACTGTAAGACCTTTATATAGACCTTGCAGTACCTGTATAAGCCTTACGATACCTGTACAGGCCTTATAATATTTCTATAAGTGCTGTAATACCTGTACAGGTCATATCATACCTGTATAGCGCATACTTATATAAGTCCTTTAATACTTGTACAGGTCTTTGAACAGTTGTAATGATACCTATATAAGCCTTATAATAAAGTCTTATAATACCTGTAGAGATCTTATAATACAACATCTGTGTAGGTTTTATAGTAGGGCAATGCATAGGCCTTATAGTACCTTTTTTCCAATAAAGTGTATAGGTTTTATGATGCCGGTTCAGGTTTTTAATACCTGAAAATGTCTTGCACAGTTATTATTATACCTACACAGGTTTTATAACACTGACATAAGCTTTGTGGTAACTGTATAGGTCCTATAATATCTGTATAAGCGTTATATTAGCTGTTTAGAACTTATGATGACTATACAGGTCTTTTAATACTTGTGAATGTTGAATGATACCTGCATAAGTCATATAATACCTGTACAGGCCTGTCAATGATTCATGATACTTTTATAGGTTTTATAATACCTGTATAGCACTTATAATCCATGTATAGATATTTTAATACCTATACAGGTCTTATGATCCTTATGAAGGTCTATGATAGTTGTATAAGACCTGTATAAGTATACACAGGCCTTATGATTTCTACATAAACCATATGACACCTGCACAGGTCACCTGTACTGTTCTTGTTGAAAGTGTCTCTGTTTTGGGCTCAGTTACACTCACAGTGAAGCAAGCAGCTCTTCTTCAGAAGTTGTGTTCTCAGCAAGGTGCTGGCTGTTAAGTGCACAGTGGAGTGATTGCTGAAGATTATACATACAGTCAGCTTCTCTCTTCTCCATTACCATCATATGTTCCTGCTGGAGTCTCCACTTATCATTCGTTTAGTCTTTTCTCGCTGCATTTTCACAGTCATATAAATTATCCATGCCTGTCTGAAATTCCAACACCACTTCAAGGAAATGTGCTTGGTGAGTGTCCACATGGCATAAATAAAATTGGGCATGCAGCTTCGATCTGACCCAGTTTGGATCACCCAAGAAAACAGTGCACGGCTCTGTTCACACACAGAGAGTGTGTTGGTGTGTGTGTATTTTTGCCTGTTCCACAGCTGCGAGTCTTCAGAGCCAACATACTGACAGGGCTTTTGTCTCCCAGAGCAGCACAGTGAGACAAGAGAGAAATATACTGGAAAAACGGAAACACTGGCCACTTTATTAGAAACATCCCCTTGTACTTCCGTAAATTGGCCACTTTATTAGAAACACTCACTTCTGCTTCCACTAACTGGCCACTTTATTAGAAACACCCTCCATGTACTTCCACTCATTGGCCACTATATTAGAAACACCTACCTTGTGCTTCCACTAACTGGCCACTTTATTATAAACACCCACCATGTACTTCCGTAAATTGGCCACTATATTAGAAACACCTACCTTGTGCTTCCACTAACTGGCCACTTTATTAGAAATACCTACCTTGTACTTCCACTAACTGGCCACTATATTAGAAACACCTACCTTGTGCTTCCACTAACTGGCCACTTTATTATAAACACCCACCATGTACTTCCACTAATTGGCCACTATATTAGAAACACCTACCTTGTGCTTCCACTAACTGGCCACTTTATTAGAAATACCTACCTTGTACTTCCACTAACTGGCCACTATATTAGAAACACTCCCATGTGCTTTCACTCACTGGCCACTTTATTAAAAATACCTACCTTGTGCTTCAACTAACTGGACATTTTATTGGAAACACCTACCTTGTGCTTCCACTCACTGGCCACTTTATTAGAAACAGCCCCTTGTGCTTTCTTAAACTGGCCACTTCTGCTTCCACTAACAGGGCCACTTTATTAGAAACACCTACCTTGTGCTTCTATTAACTTGCCACTTTATTAGAAACACCCACCATGTACTTCCACTAACTGGCCACTATATTAGAAACACCTACCTTGTGCTTCCACTAACTGGCTACTTTATTAGAAATACCTACCTTGTGCTTCAACTAACTGGACATTTTATTGGAAACACCCCTTTGTGCTTCCACCAACTGGCCACCTTATTAGAAATACCCACCTTGTGCTTCCACTAACTGGACACTTTATTAGAAACACCTGCCTTATGCTTCAACTGACTGGCCACTTTATTAGAAACACTCCCTTGTGCTTTCACTCACTGGCCACTTTATTAGAAACACCCACCATATACTTCCACTAACTGGCCATTTCTGCTTAACAGGGCCACTTTATTAGAAATACCTACTTTGTGCTTCCATTAACTGGCCACTTTATCAGAAACACCCACCTTGTACTTCCATTAACTGGCCACTTTATTAAAAAAACACCCCTTTGTGCTTCCATTAACTGGCCACTTTATCAGAAACACCCACCTTGTACTTCCATTAACTGGCCACTTTATTAAAAAAACACCCCTTTGTGCTTCCACTAACTGGCCACTTTATTAGAAACACCTACTTTGTGCTTCCACTCATTGGTCACTTTATTAGAAACACCCCTTGTGCTTCTATAAAATGGCCACATCTGCTTCCACGCTGATTGACTGCATTTGGGGTAACAAAGCAGAGGGGGGGAGTGGGTGGGGGGGGCTCACTGCAGGAATTAGATTTTTCTCCAGATTATCACTTTAATCACAATATACACAGATACAGAAAAAAATGAAGCTGATGGAAGTTTATAAACATCATGTAATTAATACAGCTGAGATGGAGAGTCTGTGTGTGTGTGTGTGTGTGTGTGTGTGTGTGTGTGTGTGTGTGTGTCCTACTACGTGTGTGACGGTGTCAGGGTTTCCATGGGAACGCTGAATCCACCTCTCACCCTGTGTTTAAACGTGTGTGTGTAATGTTTTTAACAAACCAGAAAAACACACACACACAGCTATCTGTTACACACTCCTCACTCTACTGCTCTAGAAAACATGCACTCACTCATTCACTCACTTGGTCACTCACTCAGTCACTCAGTCACTCGGTCACTTATTCAGTCTCTCACTCAATCACTCTGTCGTTCATTCACTCACTCACTTATTCGCTCACTCTCTGTCAGTCACTCACTCAGTCACTCACTCTCACTCATTCACTCACACATTCACTCTCTTACTCATACATCCATTTGTTCATTTGCTCAGTCATTCGTTTACTTTCTCACTCTCACTCTTTCACTCACTATTACATTCACTTGTTCACTCACAAAGTTCACTCACTATTCATTCATTTTCTCACATTCACACATTTATACATTCACTCACATTCCCTCACACATTCACTTAGTCATTCGGTCACCTTCTCTCCATCTCTTTCGTCTAAATTCTCTGTGATGCTCTCCGTCTTTTACTGTGATTTTTTTTTTTTTCGCCACACAATACAAAACTATTTCTGTCTTTTTCAGTCTCACTCGCTCGCTTTGACGCTTTGTTTCCCACACACTCTCGCTGTCTCTCTGGCTCTTTCACACACACACACACACACACACACACACACACACACGCACACACACACACACACACACACTCTCTTTTAGGATCTGTCTCCATGTTGTGTTTGTCACAGATGACTACACCAACAAACCTGGATGCAGTGAGTTTGTTAAAATATGAGGAACAGGTCACTGAAGACAAGAAGTTGGAGCTGGATTTTGAGTTCTTACAACACTTTCAGTCCCTCCTACCAAGAAGCCCCTGTCTCTGCTTCTGGTCCTGCTCCTGTCCCTAATCTAGTTCCTGTTCATGCTTCTGCTGCTAGTCCTGGTATAGGTCCTGGTCCTGTTCTTCTTCTTGATCCTGTCCATGGTCCTGCTCTTGTTCCTTGTGCTGGTCTTGAACCTGGTCCAATTTCTGGTCCTTTTCTTTTCTCTGATCCTGATCTTTGTGTTGGTCTTGTCACTGATCCTGCTCTTGTCCTTGCTCCAACTCCTGGTCCTGTTCTTTTTCCCTGGTCCAGCTCTTGTCCCTGGTCCAGATTTCGTCCCTGGTCTTGCTCTTGTACAGCTGTTGACTCTAAGTCAGCTCCTGTCCTTTTTCTAGATCCTGTCCCTGATTGAGCTACTGTCCCTGGAATACCTCCTGTTCCCGAGTCTTGTTCTTTGTCATCATCCTGGTCCTGCTTCTGTCTCTGGTTCATCTTCTGCCCTTGGTCCAGCTCTTGTCTCTAGAACAGCTTCTGTTCCTGGTTCATCTCCTCTCCCTTGCTCTGCTCTTGTCACTGGTCCTGCTCTTGTTTCTTGTGCTAGTTTTGCTCTGGTCCTGCTCCTATTGCTAGGCCATCTACTGTCCTTGGTCCTGCTCTTGTCCCTAGTGTCACTGGTGCTGCTTCTGTTCCTGGTCCTGCCCATGTTGCTTGTCCATCTCCTGTTCCCGTTCCTGGTCCAGCACCCATAACTAGTCCTGTTCCTGTCCCTGGTCCATGACACATACCTGGTCCTGTTCCTGTCCCTGGCCCATTACCCATACCTCGTCCTGTTCCTGTACCTGTCTGGCCCTTTACCTGTCACTGTTCCTGTCCTTGGTTCATCATCTGTACTTGGTCTTGTTTGTGTTCCTATCCCTGGTCTAAGACCCATACCTTGTCCTGTTCCCCTCTTGTCCAGCACCCATATCTGGTCCTGTTCCTATCCCTGGTCTCAGAACCATACCGGGTGCTTTTCCTGTCCCTGGTCTGGCCCTTTACCTGTCCCTGTTCCTATCCCCTGTCCATCAGCCATATCTGGTTCTGTTTCTGTTCTTGGTCCTGGTCTAAGACCCATACCTAGTTCTCTTCCCCTCTTGTCCAGCACCCATACCTGGCCCTGTTCCTGGTCCAGCACCCATACATGGTCCTGTTCCTATCCCTGGTCTCAAAAGCATACCAGGTCCTTTTCCTGTCCCTGGTGCATCATCTGTACATTGTCCTGTTCCTGTCCCTGTTTCAGATGCTGCTGCTGTCCCTAGTTCTGTTCTTGTTACTGGTTCTACTTTTATCTATCCCCATCTCTGTCCTGGTCACTATCCCCAGTAGTATGTCCTTGTTCTGGTTCTGCTTCTTAGGTTTTTAACCCATGTGTCTGTTTCACTCTCTGATATAGACATGCTGAATATTTCCAGTGTTTACCCCAGTACACCAGATCATACTGTCATGTCTGTTACATTCTCTCTCTCTCTCTCTCTCTCTCTCTAATCTATGAGTTCTTTTTGCTCCTCCAGTTTATACGCCTCTCTGATCCGAGGACAGGCATGTCACTGCTGTCAGAGAAAGAGAATAAGAGAGAGGGACAGAGCAATAGGAGAGAGTAAAGAGAGAGAGTAAAGAGAGTATAAGGAGAAGCAGATAGAGAGAGAGCCAGCAGAGGGAGAGAGAGAGTGCAGAGGGAGGGATAAAGAGAGACAGAGAAAACAGAGAGAGTGAGAGTAGAGGGAGACAGAGATAGGGAGGGAAGACAGAGAGAGAAAGAGAGAGAGAGGGCAGAGGGAGAAAGAGAGAGAGTAGAGCGAGGAGGAGAGAGGGGAGGGAGAGAGCAAGAGGGGCAGAGGGAGATAGAGAGAGAGAGAGAGAGCCAGAGGTAGAGTGAGTATAGTGAGTGTGGGTTCTGCACTCTCAGTGCTGAACTGCTGTTCGTTTCTGCCGGAGGTGTGTGTGAGTGCGTGTGAGAGTGTGTGTGATGTAGCTGCACTCTCGTCAGAGCGTCTGATCGAGCAAAGGTAAGAGCTCTCTCTCTCTCTCTCTCTCTCTCTCTCTCTCTCTTTCTCTGTAGTGTTTATATAGTGTATGGTGAGCTGTGATTGAAACAGGTTAGAGCCATAAAAACATCAGTGTGTGTGTTTGTGTGTGTGTGTGTGTGTGTGTGTATGTGTGTGTGTGTGTGTGTGTGTGTGTGTGTGTGTGTGTGTGTGTTTGCGTGTGTGTGTGTGAATCTGTTGGTGCACTAAGTGAAGCTGAGAATGAATGTGTACATGTGATTGTGTGTGTGTGTGTGAGTGTTGGTGCACTAAGTGAAGCTGAGCATGAATGTGTGTGTGTGTGTGTGTGTGTGTGTGTGTGTGTGTGTGTGTGTTGGTTCTCAAAGTGTGTGTGTGTGTGTGTGTGTGTGTGTGTGAGTGAGTGAGTCCGTTAGTTCTTAAAGTGTGTGTCAGTGTCTGTGTCTGTGTGTGTGTTTCTGACCCACATACTCTGTGTGTGTGTGTGTTTTATATTGTAATGCTGCAGTAACTCATCACTCTCCTAAAACCTTGCTAATGCTAATGCTAATCCTAACAGATAAAACACACACTTCACCTGTGAATAATCACATGTGGTTTTAGACACCTCACATTATCTTCCACACACACATTTGAAAATCATATCACATGTTAAAAATATGCAGTTGCATGCAAAAAAGTGTGTGACCACATGCAAAAATGATCACGTGAAAAATTTGTGATCACACGTGAAAAAATATATAAAAAATGTGATGGCACATGAAAAATTTACGACTTGCCTTTGCATTTTATGAGCATGTGACATGAAAAATGTGTAATCACATGTGGAAGAGCTTGCTATCACATGTGGGAAAACATGCAATCATGTGCCATTTCAGGGCCTGACACGTCACATTTGATCACATATTATTCATGTGATGTTTATTTGCATGATTATTCACGTGTTTACATCTGATCACTAAGTTTCTAGACACTTGACATGTGATTTTTCTGTAAAGGTAACAGGCACACTGGGCAGATTTCCTGATTATAAACACAATCTACTGAGATGCTCTGTGATGGGGGGCGTGGCCAGACTAGCAATGTATCTATTAAGAACCTCTATGCAGATGAGGCGCAACTTTGTAATTAACATATGAGCAGTGCAATACAACCACCTGTTTGGCTCATGTGCTTTTGTAAGAAACATTATTTTTTTAAAGAACTCCAGGAATTTGGGGGAGGGGTTTAGAGAAGGCATACTTAGGGGTGGGTAATGTGATGATATTTCATCATTATTGTGATAAATTCTGTCACAATATCCTTTCTGAGAGTATTGTAGATATTGTCAGTATTTAACCCTCTGGGGTCTGAGGGTGTGTCCTGGATTTTTGCATATATTCTTAATTCCGCCTTTAAAGGCTCTTGCATACAACTCAATACCCACATATTATATATCAAAATGTTCTGAACAATCTCAGCTCTCTCTATAATGAGGCCCTTTTGGCCTGGAGCACTGTGTACAGAGATAATTTAGCCCTAAAGCTAAAAAATTAAAATTCAGTTTTAGAAATTCCTAATATTTCTTGCGAAAACAGCTTTACTCATGTAGACGAATTGTTTTGATGCTTGAAATGGGTTCACCATTAAAAAGTCTTATATGCACTGATATTTTAAAAACTCAATATTTTGTGTCATTTTGTGAATAATATCTCAGGTATTTTGACATGGTATGATGGCCCTCTTTGAAAAAGTTTGGACACTCCTGGCCTAGTGTGAGTACACTCTTAGTGGTACCCATATATCACATCTGGCTTAGCAAGACTGTGTTCTGACATTACTGCATTATCAGGCTAATGTGATCCCTCAGTGTAATTGTGTTTAATGATGCAGAGCTGCAGAGTAACCGTCTCTGTCTGTATCTGTTCGTCTCTGTCTGTCTCTGACACTTTAACTTCATCTTCATCTCCAACCCGAACACTGCACTCACTCAAAGTACACACAGCCTCTATGAATCTTCTTAAAAAGTTTTTCTTTTCCAGTTTTCCCTCTCCGTAGTGTAACGTTAACAGTGTGTTTGTTAGAATTCCTCCACGTTCACGGTGATCGTTTAAACATTTCACTGTTTTCAATAATAAAAAACCCTTCCGTTGCAGATCTGTCATCGCCGCCATAACTAGGGCAGTACTTTTGGGTATCAAACAAATACTGCTGAGTATCCCAAAGTCATTAACCCTCTGGGGTCTAATTTGTTCTTAAATTCTCCTTCAAAGGCTCTTCATATAAGATGATACTCATATGTTTCATCACAACTTTCCAAAACCACTGCAGTAACTTAAGCAGCTGTAAACTCTCTGCACACCATTTCACATGTGTCTCCGATGTGGACTGAATGAAGAATGAAGGGTTTCTGGTGTGATGGGTCAGTCCTTAGTATCTCAGCCCCTCTTCATAGCCTCATAACTCCGGATGTGAGTCACATACGATCTTGTGATAAGATGGAATGGAAAGGGCGACTCTACAGACTCGGAAATGTTTGAACTGTATTTCTGTGCTAGATTATCACAAAGATACAGAAACATAATAGATTCCCATCACGCCGGAAACTTCATTCTTCATTCGGTCCACATTGGAGACACATGGGAAACGGCGTGCAGAGAGTTTACAGCTGCTGAAGTTACTGCAGCAGTTTGGAAAGTAGTGATGAAGATAACAGGGCATTTTGATATGAAACATATGAGAATCACGTTATATGAAGAGCAGATAACCAGGCATCTAAGAGATCATGACTGTCCTCTCTCTTTCACTGGGTGGGGAAGATGGTCCTCCTTCTCCCCTCATCGTTCAGTGTGATGCTAGCCAACATGGGCATCTATTAGTTGACCTAACAGAATTAGCAGTTAGTGTTCTTCTCCAAGTCTGTTGAGCTCCAATGACATTCAAAAAAGCATACTGAGTACTGCATCTCTGTATACTGTTTACTGCATGTTTACTTCATCAGTGGTGTACAGCACTGTATCCAGTACACGACACAATCTGTGTTCTGTACTACAGAAAAGGGGCGGGACTAGCCTGCCAACATCAGGCACTGAGGCAATCAGACCATCTCAAGACCCGCCCCATTTTTCTCAGCCCTCCAATCACTGCTTAGCAACTGTTACTAGCCGCTTTTCAGCATGTTTATATTTTGGTGTAGAGATGAGGCTGTGTGACTTTTAAAATACACCACATTCTGTGACAGAGGGCAGGATGGGGTTTTCTACTCATCTCCAAGGCCGTAAATAAAATGTCATGTTTGGTCAGTGTGGTAAACCTATGGTAAAGTGTGGTTTCCAAACACACCTGGTTTCCTCCATTTGCGAGTGATTTAATTTTCATTACACTTGTAGTTGGTAATATGAGCTCGTCTGAATGATACTCAGTATGACTCCAAACGGGAGCCTGGAAAGCTGATAATGAACAGATTGTTCAGCTGAGTTACTGTTTTATCCATGTTGTGCAGAAAGTTAACTAAAGTTAAGTAAGCAAACCACCTCAAGACCAGCAGAGGGAACTGATGTGTGTCTTCAGTTTTGGGATGCAGTATGTCACGGAGACAGCTCTGGCCGGAGCAGAACACCATCCGGGTCTCTTTGGCGTACTTGAGAAGGCAATGTTGGTCACACACTGCACACTGCTCACTGCTTCTGGGCAGAATCAGTACGTGAGCAGTGTGTAGTAGGATATTTCCAACACAGCCTGTGTTTGTGCAGTTTGTAAAGATATGGTGGAGCTTCACATATGCTGGAGGCATATTCTAGCCTTCATCCTCCCAGCTTTGTAACATAGACCTACCTAACAGGTGGGAACTGGATACGACTGAAGAGGAGAATAACTGAGTGAAAGAAACACAAATTAACCATGTTCCCTAAAAAGTTGGGAACTCATCATCAACAGTACATAATGTCATTAAAAGATTCAGAGAATCCAGAGAAATGTCTGTGTGCAAGGAACAAGGCCTCAAACCAATACTGGCTGCCCGTTTCAATGTTTGAAATGTTGCCTTTGTACTATTTTCAATCAAATGTAGGACTTAAATGATTTGCACATCATTGCATTCTGTTTTGTCCCAACTTTTTTGGAAACAGGGTTATAATTTGTTTGAAAATACGAAAAATTACGAGGGTTTTGATTTGAATGTAAAATGTAAAATATCTAATTATAATTTGATTCTAATAGATGATTCCAGACTGAGCTGAGAAAGCTGTGGGACGTTGGGATAAAAATGAACATACAAAAGGCCCCACATTTGCATAGCAAATCTCAGGGCAATACTCTGACCAGAAATGACGATAAATAGATAATTACAGTACTATTCATGATTCAATCATTTATTGTTATTCCCAAAAGATCAAACATCATAAAAAAGCTTTTGGTTCATATTATTCATATCTACAGCATGTAATTTATAGTCACAAATACAAAAGCTGTCACAAGTTGGTGGTAGGGTAAATACCTTTGGTCTTGTGTTATTTGAACAATAAAACATGTTTGACATTTAATAGTAAAAGTAAAAAATGTCACCTTGCTTTGAGATGAGTTTTATTTTTTATCGCAGCCATATGACGAGGAGCGACCTTCATCAACTACATACTACATATACTTTTAGCTAATGTTACCATGTGTGATTACTTTATCAGAGTGCAAATTATTCTGTAAATAGCAACCTTGAGGAATGTAAGTGCTAGCTAATATTAGCTAAAGCTGTCTTTAGCTGAGATAGCAGTGTTAGTGCTAGTTAACTAAGCATAGTTTGGCTGTTAGCACTGTCCTTTATCTTGGCAACAGCACTGGATAAAAAGGGTTAGCATAACTGCTACTGAGTGCTGATTGGTTAGCATTACTGCTTCTGAGCACTGATTGGTTAACATTACTGCTACGGCGAGCTGATTGGTTAGCATTACTGCTACTGAGCGCTGATTTGTTAGTATTATTGCTATGGAGTGCTAATTGGTTAGCATTACTGCTTCTGAGCACTGATTGGTTAGCATTACTGCTACTGAGTGCTGATTGGTTAGCATTACTGCTACGGAGCGCTAATTGGTTAGCATTACTGCTACTGAGTGCTGATTGGTTAGCATTACTGATACTCAGCGCTGATTGGTTGGCATTACTGCTACTGAGTGCTGATTGGTTGGCATTACTGCTGCTGAGTGCTGATTGGTTAGCATTACTGCTTCTGAGCACTGATTGGTTAGCATTGCTGCTACTGAGTGCTAATTGGTTAGCATTACTGCTATGGAGTGCTAATTGGTTAACATTAATGCTACTGATCACTGATTGGTTAGCGTTACTGCTACTGGTCACTGATTGGTTAGCATTACTGCTACTGAGTGTTGATTGGTTGATTAAACATTTACAAATTGTAATTTTGTACAAAAGTTCAGTAGGGACCCATTCATATTAGACTCTCTCTTGAGCGCCCTCCAGTGCTGACAAACCTGTAAGACATTACTGAGATGCTCTAAGAGATTCTCTAATGGAGCTTCAGTTCAGACTGATCTTAAAGCTTGTTCTCTGTTTTGTCCATCAGGGGCTGCTGAGCATAGATAATGACAGCTACAGGCTTTTTTACTGCCTCATGCCTTAATCATCTCTCTCTCTCTCTCTCTCTCTCTCTCTCTCTCTCTCTCTCTCTCTCTCTCTCTCTGTCTCTCTCTCTCTCTCTCTCTCAATCTCCCACCCCTCGTCCAGCTATAACCTTCACTCTTTCTTCTCTACATTTGAAAATGTGCTGAAAATGTAAATGTCATTTATGCAGCTAACTATGTAATTAGTTATGTAATCATGCAATTGGGTTTGAATAGTATTGGTAAAAAACAATAATAATTCTATACATCTTATGGTTTAGTAAAGAATGTTAAATTAGCTGGCTTGTTTCTGTTTTTGCACAGTGTCTGTGAAACCCTGACAGAGGAGAGGGATGGACAGAAGAATGGTGGTAGGAAGAGGAGTGCTGAAGAAGAGCAGATACATCGTTCCTTGCTTTCTGTTAGTGGAGGTGAGTTTAGGGCCGTACAGTGAGCTCAGCGTTTCCAACCACCAACCACTCAAACACCTCCATCAGACCATAACAGCTCATGAAAATGCATTATAAAAACTGTATTTCTGTCCTTTTACTGCTTATTACTCATTAGTAATGATGATGTTGGTAATAAAGGTGAGGTAAGTGATGGTTATGTTAGTAATAATGGGTTGGCTTTGTTAGTGATAGTGATGTTAAAGATGTTGGTGATGTTAGAGATGGTGATGTTAGTGATGTTGGTGATGTCAATGTTAATGATGTTGAAGGTGATGTTAGTGATGTTGGTGATGGTAATGTTTAGTGATGATGGTAATTTCTTTACATTACATTTGTGATGATTCTGCTGTAGATCATGATAGTGATGCTAGCAATGTTGGTAATGATTGTGCTTGTCATCATGATGGTGCCTGTCATGGTGATGATTACTAACATCATCACCTATATCACTAACATCATCACCAAAGCACCCACATCACTAATGTCTACACCAATGTCACTAACATTACCGTCATCGCTAAGATTACCATCACCAACATCACTAACATCACCATCAACATCATTAACATTGCCATCACCAACGTCACTAACATCACCATCTCTAACATCACCAACATGTTGGTGATATAGTGGAGAAATGCTTGTAAAAAACTGTATTTCTATTATTTATTGTTCTAATTAATCTCTAACAGTATCAAATATAACTGTATACAAATGAGGCACGACACGCTATGTTGTACAGCCTGTAATGTGCATCACCTCCAATTCATGACCTGCATTTTGAACACAAACAGCAGCATTATTTGTTTTTGTAGATGTAATGGCATCTCACTCTAAACGGTGTCTTCCCGCTGTGTCTGTTTGTCTGACATGCTGTTGCAATCATATCGTTACACTTACTGTGTTGATGTATCTGCATGTCGGTCACAGCGTATTTCTGTTCCATTATAAATGATATAACTCACTCAGTTCTCTACCTCTGCACCTCCTCTCTGTCATCTCTCTCTCTCTCTCTCTCTCTCTCTAATCCCTCAGTGACTCAGAGGACCGCCTCAGAAGTGCTTTTAATTAAGCTCTCTAATTAATCTCTGCGCTACGTTAGTGCGTTTACTCTCTGATTGCCTGCCATGCGGGGAACAGGCCCTGAGGGCAGGAGGCTCTGACCCAGAACAGCAGCGGCCTTGCTAACATCTCCACTAGCTTTGATTTCAGCACAGGCTTTAGGACTGACTTCCAAATGTTAGTATCAGTGCAGCTGTGATGGGCATTTACACTGTTACAGACTTTAGTAAAGTTAATCTCTGGCTCTGAGCACTAAACTCAGACAGAGAGATATTTATGTTAATGTTGAACTCGATGAGCCCTCAGTGCTTACAAAACACTAACGAAGCCAGAAATGTTAGCAGATTATGTCAGTAATGATAATGTTAGTAATGATGATGATGTGATTTTGGTGATGTTTGTGATGAGAGCAGCAATGTTAGCATTGTTAGTGGTGATGTAATGATCATGACGCTGATAATGTTACTGATGTTAGTGATATTATTGATGTTATTGATGTGAGCACTATTGGTCATGTTGGTGATAGCGATGATTATGATGATGTTGTAAAGGATGATGATGTTAGTTGTCTTGATGTTGGCGATAGTGATGGTGTGGGAAACTGATGGTGATGTTAATGATGACATTGGTCATGATGATGTTAGTGATGCTTATGAGGTTAGTGTTGTTGGTGATGGTGTTGGTGATAGTGATGATGGTGATGTTAATGATGATGGTAATGTTATAGATGATAGTGACTTTCATAAAGGTAATATTGGTGATGTTAGTCATGTTAATGGTGATGTGATAGTGATGTGATGTTACAGTTGTCAGTGATGTTAGTAGTTAGATGGTAATGTTAGTGATAAAGGTAATGTTAGTGGTGATGATGTTAGTGATGATGATGTTATTAATGTTTGTAATGTTAGCGACGATGGTGATGATAGTAATGTTTGTAATGTTAGTAATGAAGGTGACGATAGTGATGTTTGTAATGTTAGTGATGATGGTGAAGTTAGTGATATTTGTAATGTTAGTGATGATGGTCATGTTAGGTATTTTGGTAATGCTAGTGATGTTTGTAATATTAGTGATGATGGTGATGTTAGTGATGTTGATAAAGTTGGCGGTGTTGGTGATGATGATGGTGATTTTAGTGATGGTGGTGATTTTGGTGATGCTGGTGATGTAAGCGATGATGGTGATATTAGTGACATTTGTAATGTTAGTGATGGTGGTGATGTAAATGATGATGGTGATGTTAGATTGTTTGTAGTGTTAGTGATGATGGTGATGTTAGTGATGTTTGTTATGTTAGTGATGATGGAGATGTTAGTGGTGTTTGTGAGGTTAGTGATGTTTGTTATGTTAGCGATGGTGGTGATATCAGGTATGTTGCATGGAAAACAGGCTGTTTATAGTAATTCTATTCCGAGCTCTTTCTTGCTCCTCCTCCTCCTCGTGCTCCTCTTAATGCAGCGTTCCCTGCGGCGCTCCTTCCTTTGTTCCTCTTTTGCATCTCATTATGGGATATGTTGATAAAAGCTCTCTCGTTCTGCTCTCTCCTCATTACGGCTTGTATAGATCTCAGCGCTGAGAGAGAGAGCGAGGGGGAGTGATGAGCGATGGAGAGTGAAGGCTGGATGTTATCTGCACAGTGAATATGTGTGAAATCTGTCTCTGAGTTTCTCTTCTGCTCTCAGGGCTTTACTGGAGCTCTAATCTGCTCTCGCTCTCTGTCTCTCTCTCTCTCTATCTCTCTCTCTCTCTCTCTCTCTCTCTCTTCCCTCGGCACTGTAATCCAGCCAAAATCAGAGAAGCTCCGGCTTTTCTGAACACGCCCTCATTAACACAAGGAGAAAGCAGCAGCCTGATCGTTGCTCTGTGCAGGAATGCACTCCTCCACTGTGGAGCCCACCAGTCTGATTAGATCAGAGCATTTACAGTTTATTAAGGCAACAGAGCAACCAGCATATCATCACTGCTGGAACAAAACATCACATTTCCAAAGCAGTAATTTTACGTAAATGCAACAACATTTTATTGAGTAATACTGAACCAGTTTGGTATACAAAAGGATTGTGTGAAACTTATATGACAGCAACGATGATGTTATTTTCTCGTTAATTTTTTGATACAAAGAGATGACTACAGACTCAGGTCTTAGGGTTAAAGGTTGTGCAAAGCATGGTGGGTGTAAAGTAATTTTCTTTTACATTTTTGAGATCACTCTAGTGGTACCAACACACCTCCATTTCCATTTTTTTATATATCATTTTTACACATCAAATTGTCCAGCAGTGATGCTGCAATACACCATTAGAAAGCTTGAAATCTAAGGATTTGATTCCCACAAACCATTTTATGCATGTTATTCACAGCAGCAACAACCAGAACAGCTACAAAAGTGGTGATGCAAAAAAATGCAGCTGATGAAATGCAGTTAGGCCACTGACTGAAACTAGCTCTCTTGTCATGCTAATACCACGACTGGTGAACAGGATCAGTCTGTGTGTTGACCCTGTGCTTCACTGGGTTCAAACTCTGCTAGCTAACATCTTTCTTTACAAACCCAGTTGTCTGTTACTTTCACATTCAACACCTCAAAAATAGAGAACATGTTATGGTCTGTGTGTATCACAATCAGCAGCCATAATAGACCTGACTTCAGCCTTTTTATGATTGGTTTACCAGTTTGAAGGTCGCCACTCAGATCGCTGATGCGAAAAATGCACTCTGCGATCCATGAGCTAAAATCAGGCCAAAATCAGAGCTCAGTTTGGAGATCTATGAGTCAGAAAGAAATAAACTCCTCCATTCTTGACTCTGTTACTCCGTTTCAGTTATTCAGACAGTTATTCTGACTGTTGAGAGTGTTTTCTTTCAAATGAGACCAAGATCATGACTGTAGAACAAAGTATGTGTGAACAGCACCGCCTTTACTGTGGGTATTCCATTACAGGCAGAAAAGGGGTCGACAGTGAACAGGTTAACCGTTTTCATGCTTTAACTGATATTCACTTTGTGATATGTGAATGTTCCTTCCTCTCAGGAGCTGCAGCTGCTCAGTGAGGTGTGTTCGTCCTGATTTGTGCCACTCGTATGATTTTGACTCTCATGCACAATTGATTTGCGGTTCGGCCTGCGCTATTTTCTCCCTGTAGGTGATTTCTTATTCATTTCCTCAGTTATTTATAGTGAATGTGTGTGTGTGTGTGTGTGTGTGTGCGTGTGTGTGTGTGTGTGTGTGTGTGAATGCTGTGGTTGTCTTCAGTTCACTCTCCAGCCTGCAGACTGCACTGCGTCCATCACTGACAGTGTATATAAACTAGACTCCTGCTGTTTCAGTTAGAAGGTAGTTAGAAGTTTAGTTACTACTTCCTGCTTCATTATTTAATGGTGTTAAATATACTGTAACATTACAGAACAGAACCGCATAGCAAGAGAAAGACACCATAGTGAAAACAGCCTCAAATCAACATGTATTATAATAAAAATAATAATAATATAATAGCATTACATCTATTGTCATTATTATTATTATTAGTAGTAGTAGTAGTAGTAGTATACACTCAAAATAACACCTAAATCAAATTAAATGCATCGATTCATGAATAAATAATTACATTTAATTTAATTGAAAATGGCAAATTCATGACAAAACAAAGTTATAAATGATATAACAAATTTATAAAAGTGTCTTTAGCTATGAATTGTGACTTCTTGCTTATTATTATTATTATTATTATTATTATTATTATACAGTGAACCCGCTTTGTTTTTTATATTATTGAGGAGCTTCTACTTCAGCCATCACAGTGCAGTGTGGGTGTAGTAGCTTTATCACATAAAAAAAGCTTTTATTTTGAAGCTTTGAAGTGATGGTCAGGCTTGTGGATCAGAAGACAAACAGTCCAGTCTTTGTGGAAGAGGACAGG